AATTTTCGCGAATTTTCGTTTTTTGCCGAGGATCTCTGCAAACGCCCACCCCTTCTTTTTGGCAATTTTCCATGTTCAAGACCCTGGGCTTATACCCAGATAAATACGGTAATAGAGCAATAAGGTAATTGAACAGAATATAATATCACAGAATAGAATTGTATTCATAATAGCATATAATAAAATAGAATAAGATAGAATAGATTTGAATTGATAATAATATCTTATAATTGAATGGGATAGAATAAAATAGCTTATGCTTATAATTTAATAGCATAGAATATATCTAATAGAATAGAATCATTTTCCAACTTGTTTTACATGTTTGTATATTGTATATTTTACAGGTTATTATTTGGTATGTCTGATATGTTTGTATATAAGTATACTGACAACAAATGTACATGTAATGCAGATATTCAAGTCTCACATCTCACACCGGTAAGTCTCTTTATTATAAACTTGCATTACATGTGACCAAAGCTAAGCCTTGATTACATGTACATAAAATGGATACAGATATTGGAGTGGTTGCTAATGTCACTTGTGTTTTTCAATGTGATGGAAATAAACATAATCATGTGTTTTAAAATTTGAGCGTTGAACAAGGTGATGATTTAATGTACCTTGCTTCATTCTTAGGTTGACAGAGAGATTTGCAACACAGCTTGATTAAACAATCAAGTATTGCCACCATTCTATAGCACTGATAGAATTTTATAAGCCATCACTCCTCTTGCATGCCTGACAGATCTGATGTCAGTTGATTGTTCAAGTATCTGTCATTCTCTGTCATTTCTGTTCTGTTTAAAAATATTTACATGATATTTCATCTGCCGTCCACATACTCACAACATCATCTGTAACAAACTTTGAAAGATTGTTTTACTTTTATCTATATTATGCTAATTGGTGTATTTCATGGTATATTTTCAGAATGCACTGTATAGTTTGCTGTATTATTTTGCAAGATATGGTCAGATGGTATACCATTTACATCAGTTTATTGAAGAGATTATTACCCATAGTGGAAATATTGATTACAAAGTATCACAAACATTCCAGGCATTCGCGTCATCACTCTCCTGTTTTCTACAACAATTTAAATCAGAACTTTGTATTATAGAAAAGGATATAATGAAGCAAGGTAGGGTGGTACATGTAGTTACTATATATATCGTACACTAAATAAAAAAATGTTACATTATGATATTTGCAAAATGATTGATAGTGAATTTGTACCATCAGAAAGTACCAGGATGTGTGACCTTTTAACCTTTTCAACATCAGATTTCTCGCCAAAATTTGTCAGCACTTTTTTTCTTATATTCTTCAATATTTCTGGAAATGAAACCGAATTTTGGAGCCAGCAGACAAAATTTGAGTCATTGAGGGAAACTGGTTGGTGAAAAGGTTATAGCATTACAGTTGAGCCAAACTAAAAGTTGTCAGAATTGAATGTTTTTATCAATATCACCTCAAATAAGCACCATACTTGATAACTGTGGAATAGGAAATATTTACTGGGTTTGATTTTAGAACATTTGATGTTGCAGAGAACTGGGTTTCAAATTGGTTTGTGAAAGAAACAAAACATGTTATCGTTAAATTGGAATATATCCTGGGTTTTAATTTAGTGCATCTAGCTGCCAGCAAAATAAGTGAAAATAAAACTCTATAAATAAATAAGCCCTGTACAGTAGTGTAACAAAGTGGTTCATATATTGTATTTAATACATGTATAGTATAAAGTTTGATACACTATAATATTCATCACTTTTATTAGCTCTGCTGTCATTGCAGATGACCCAGCGGAGCTGTTGGTATGGGGGTCTCTCCGGCGGCGTCCAGTGTCCAGCGTAAAGTTTTCCTTTAAATGACTTCTTCTTCAAAAGTACCAATTACATTCATATTTGTACCAAAGATACTTGGGGTGGTCCTCTGTCAGATTTGTTAAATTCGTCTCAAAATATGGAAATTTGGATTTTTAGTGAATATTTTTGGTAAAAAATGTTATTTTCGACAACTAGTCCTGAACCGTAAGTCTAATTGCTTTCATATTTGTAGCTAGGATACCTGGGGTGGTCCTCTGTCAGATTTGTTAAATTCGTCTCAAAATATGCAAATTTGGCTTTCAGTGAATATTTTTGTCATTTTTGGTAAAACATGTTATTTTCGACAACTAGTCTGAAACCATAAGTCCAAATGCTTTCATATTTCCAGCAATGATACTTGGGATGGTTCTCTGTCAGATTTGTTAAATTGGTGTCAAAATATTCAAATTTGGATTTTTAGTGAACAATTTTTTCATGTCTTATGTAAAACTGGAGTAATTGACTCTCTTATATCTGATCATAAGATTATTACTGCACAGATTTATTGAACAATTACGTATATGTATAATGTTATTAGGAAGGATAACATTTCAAAAAATTGACCACAATTTTCAAACAAAACATTTTTTTTTTAATTTTCTCGACTATTTCTCAGGTTTTTGCACACACACGATTTCTTAAGTTTAGCCTCAATGATGTTTGTCCAATGAAATGCACTATCCTTATGAACACTATAAAAGTTCATAATTGTATTAACTCAAGTGCAATGTTCTCTAAATGACTGACTATGAATATTACCACTACAATGCCACTTTACTGATTCTTGTTCCATGATAATGAAGACAGCAGAGCTATTTCAACCGTCAGGTCGCTTGTTAAATATGATTCCAGAATAATTTAGTTTCAAGAGTGGAATTTGAGTAAAAACAATTGGTTTTCAAATGGCCTATCAACATTTTTAAATTTGGGGTACAGGACTCATTGGCTGTATTTACAAAATTGTCCTGATTTGTAGTGGTTTATACAAACCCAATGAACCCTCTGTATCGATCTCTGGACAGCCACCTACTATCACTGAAAATATCTTTTTTTTTGTGTCTTTGATTTTTTTTTGGACAAACAATGAAATAAATTTCCTATTCCAGTCTGATTTATAGTTTTCATTAAAAATATCTTGCTGTCAACAACAACAGTATTTTGTTACAAGTTGTTTCTGATACAGCCGCTCTATACTTCTTCACAATAATGTTGATGATTTTCTTGGTACCGTAAAATCTGTATTAGAAGCCGCATCCCTAATAGAAGTCGCACCCATTCCTTTTGAATAATTGAGAACCAAAAATTCATCATTTCTCATATGTGTAGATGCTCTATTAGAAGCCGCATCCCCTCTGTTGCATTGTACCATTTTAATAGAAGCCGCGGTTTCTAATACAGATTTTACAGTATTACATGTCTTTGATATCTTGTCTTTTATCACTATAGATAAGAATGTAAGTTTGAGTGAACTGAAGGAAAGAATTCAACCACAGTTAGAAGTTGTGGCTACGTTATATGATATATACAATATTGGAGTTAATAACAGTAATGGCAATAGTGCTGTATTATTAACGGCATTCTATAACACACTGTTAGAGTTACAAAGCAATACAGTGGAAAATACAGATAGACTTAAGGTATGTTCATATGTCTTTATGTACTTCAAAGTTGTATTACTGAATGCTGCCGTAAATTCGCCCTTGGCCATTAAACGGCAGTTTGGGCGATTTTTCTGCAGTTTTTAAAAGTTGTTTTTTAAATATTTTGGCATAATTTTTCGGACATTTCAACCTTTCCTGATGCCTAATAGAGTCTATTTAAGTTTTTATTCAAGAGTATGTTTATTGTGACTACTCAGACTGGCGTGAATGGGTAAGCTTCATTTCAACAATCAGCTGTTAACACTGTAAACAATGTTAAATTATTCATCTAATGCTCAGTTTATCTTTTGACAAATTTTATGATTTGAAAAAAAAATCATGCCGTTTTTCCATCAAAATCCAAGCCAAAAGATCGTACTACAACATCAGCGAATCTATTCCGCGTTGCGTTCAATAACATTAACATATTTAAATGAGCTATGGTAATTTGAACACGTTGGCATCATCCAGCATTTTGATTGGTTAATTAGCAATTTGACCTACTAGTATTAGGCCAACTCATGCAAGAGAAAGAACATGCAGATACCCAACATCATCAAGCGTTTATATGTGACTGGAATCATTTGCTTACGATGAAACTAAGTTGAACTTTAGTTGCATTTCATAACAATTCAACAAATTTACTTTTTGTATGTTATTATAATCATTACTGAGTAATAATCAACAATTGTGAAACGCAGCATTGCAGAATTGCGCAACCGTGATCATTTCCTGCTATGCAATGTTCGTTTTTATTTGAAACTTTGTTTAGAATATACTTTCGTTACCATTAAAATAAAAAAAAAATGTATTTGACGTACCATGTTCGTTAATGTGATTTTTTGGAGAAAAATGACACTGGGTGACATCGTAATGTAATTTTAGGCGGTCTACTTTTTAATTCAGCAAGAAAAAAATGTATCAAATTTTAGATTAGCTTCTTCAATAGTGTCTTTCGTCTTGGGTGGCCCAACTGTCCGCGTAGTTGGATTTTTTAATGAAAATAGAAGTCCCCAAACAATATTTGATGATCTTTTTTTGAAATTTTGAACCTTGAATAAGCGCCCACCAGTCGTGAAATCGCCCAGGACAATTTTTCGGATGGGTGAATTTACAGCAGAATCTAGTACCTTGCATAGTTTGTTGAGCCCTTAAACATATGATGTATTTAACAGAGCATACATGTGTTTATGTAGATAATTGAGTTATGTCCTTGGTTGAAATAAGTCATATTCTAATGATTCGTCATGTACAAAATGCAATTTTTGGTCCACATGTGCTTCTAATTGAGCAAATAGAGTATATACGAGATTCTACATTTATACGTTCTCGCATAAAATTTTTTGCACTTTTCTATTATATTCTTCAATATTTATGGAAATGAACCCTAATTTTGGTGTCAACAGACAAAATTTGAGTCAATTTTCAGTTTTTACTCAAAAAAATTGGCTATCTTGTTGCAATCTTCTGATGGAAAGTGCAGACTATAAACAGGACTATTTTGTGAATTTGTGATGAAAAGAGGGAAATAGTGGTAAAGGTTAATAAAATCAAATAGTGAGGTGCCTAATGCTGTACAAGAAAGAGATCAAAATCAAAATGGGAAATGCTTGACTCTGAAGTTTGTTTTTGTATTAAGGTCATTTTCAGAATTGACACTTATTGACATCCTAGAATGCTGAGAACAAAAATTAGGAGAAACAAGGAGAACAGGAGCGCATCACCCTCATACCATGGTCATGCACCCCCTTACTTTCTGGCAACCATAAAATTCTGATTGACCAGGGATCCCATGTTGCCACAGTCTTCAACTGTGACCTGTCTGATAGTAATTTTGGCCCCAAGCAAACCATAGAATGCTCCATTTTAACTTTAGAATTATCAAAAACTCCACACCCTGATAGGGAGAACCCTATCTCCCCCACTTGGTGGCGCCGCTGAATTGCAGTGCTCCCTCTTGCAGTTCTTTTCTAGAAAAACCCCTGCCGAAAATATGATCACAAAAGTATCTGCAGAATTTTTAGTATGCCGATGAAAATGTATTGTTTTTCTTGGTTCTAAACATTCCAGTACTATTACTATTATTTGTACTGGTACTACAGTCAAAAGCTATTTTCGCTGAGATTCCTTGAAAATAAAATCCAGCGAATATATTTTTTTCCCTATATTTCACATTAAACTCATCAAAAATCAGTGAAAATAAATTTAATACACAACACCTAAAAAGCCTTTTCAGCGAAAATTAATTCCAGCGAAAATAAAGTATTCCACAGTACCTTTATATAAAGACCACTTCCCCATAGTGTGACCACCTTTGAGCTGACCCAATGCAATTTACATGTAAAGTCACCTGTACTTTAAAGACTACCGGTACCTATATAATGTAACAAGTGACCAATCTTTTGTACCAGTTTGGTCTAATGAACCTCACATGAAGTGTTCCGTTTTTGCTCCTAGTAATTGGTCATTTTACTTTCACTATGAGATCTTGCATAATGTGTGAAAGACGTGAATCAAACGTCAGCTGCAAAAATTAAATGATTTGATTTTGAACTTGAGATTTTTTTTTCATAGTTCAATGTTTAAAATCTTTCAGAGGTGGAGTATGGCATTGACATATCCTTACTCATGAAAATTGTTTCGTGTTTGTCAAATCCCATATGATTTTTAAGTGCAATTTCACGCATAATGTGTGATCTGACAGTGGATGAAAAATTGTCTATAGTTACCTAATGGCATTCATAAAAACAAAAGTTACTGTGACCTACTCAGTGTCCCTTTAAAATAACATTTTCACTGCTACGAAATTTCATGATTGTCCTTGACTCATGAATTTTTTAAAAATTTCCTCCCGCTGAATTTGATTGGTTTACATACAGTATGTACATGCCAAAGATGCTATTCTCTACATTGATATTTTTAATTTAATCAAAGCAAACATAATTCTTAACAAATTGCCTCTTAATCTGAGAAATTATAGTCATATTTTATACATGAAATAATCAACATTCTTAGAAGGACTATCTGTCTATATATTATAATTTCTTTTATTGAAGTATTTTGGGTGGTCATTATAGATTAAACTGTATTTAAATTTCATTACAACTGTTATCAGTAGCATCATATGAAACCTTTGACAGCTAATCAGATCAGGTGTGCAAGGTCTATTAATTCAGGTCCTGATGAAGTCTAGCATTCTGGGGACACCCAATTTCAATACCAACATTTCTTAAAACGGCTGAAATTGTGAAATAAATGTTTGTCTATTTTGCATAAGGACATTCAGGTGGGGCATCCAGGCCCTCGCCTTCAGGGCCTCTATGAATGTAAGAAGAGATTGACAAACTGCTGTTTCACAGCATAACTTAAAGCAGGGGAGTCGTCACCTGCACATGCTTAGATGATCATAGCTTGTCATTGTTTACAAGCAAGCATCTACCCATGAGCCTTTGCGTTTTAAGCATGTGTCGATTGGGACTCAATTTCTGCGTGTACGCATGTGACAACCCTACTACTTTAAAACAAATATTAAAAGTCATATAGCCAAAAGGATTATGGCAATGAGTGGAATATACTGGGGGAAGTGTGCCCTCTAAGCTACTATGATGTACTATTGTGGCAAAGAGATTTGCTGAGATGGAAATTCACTGGTACATCATGAACGCAACAGAAAAATGTACATTGATAAAGTGATCTTGAAAAACACTTTACCAGTACTACCAGTTTCACTGGTACTATAGTTACAGAATTTGTATATTTCTGAAATGAAATTATTTTTTTGAAACAGCATAAGTGTCAAAACGAAGTAAAAACCAGGGCCACAACAATTTTTTGTTTATGTCCCAAATCATACCTACATTCATATAAATTTTGTTGTTGTTTTTGAAAATCTCTTTCCCCAGCAGTATATAAAACAAGCTGTCTAAATTTTATTTTGGGAGATTGATATTGCCCCAACTTTGATCTGCAGAAGTACTCTATGGCAAACAGTAGTTACACAAACCACACTGTTGTATTTGTCTATGGAGACAGTGGAGTTTCTATACCTACTGGCCTCTCTTTCAGTTCTTCTGAAACAGGAAGTGTTTGAGGGCGCTCGACTTATAAAAGGCGTCTATAAAATATAACAGTGTATCACAATCCCAGGTCTGGAAATGGCTATTGTCTAAGGTGTGAATTACCCGCTGTGCTTAGACTGCGCTGGGTATGGCTTTCCGCGAAGCATAGTCTCTTGATATCAGAGCATTCTATTGAAACGAACAATTCATTGTTCCCTTCATGTTCTAGTTTTTACAACCGAAAAAAACATATATTTTGATAATTTATATAGATTTAGAAGCTCAACACAAGTCTTTAGCTGGCAAGTCTTTCTATAGTGGCATATTGACATTATTATTCGTGAATATCGCATTTAAATTTCAGGGACTCAGTCAGGGATCGGGAACTTGGAACATGTCTAACAACCTTGACCGGGTGGGCCCTTCTATTCGTCATGTGTTTTAGAAAGATCAATGTTTTTTAGTTTATTGGATAGTTTAAACCCAGTGTAGTTGTTGGATCGGTTCATTGTGCTAGTTTTATTATATTATACTGTAGAATACTTTATTTTCGCTTGGAATTTATTTTCGCTATTTTCGCTGAAGGGATGATTCCGTGAAAATAAAATCCAACGAATATACTTTTTTTCCTATATTCCACATTAATCTCATCAAAAATCAGTGAAAATAAATTCCAAGCAAAACGCCGAAAAAGCCTTTTCAGCGAAAATAAATTCCAGCGAAAATAAAGTATTCAACAGTATACAGTATACGTATCATATTTAGGCATCACTTTTTCCGTTCAAAATAAAGATGGCCTCTCGCCGATTCATTGCCATTCGAATTTTCGTGTCATTATTTTTGTTTCCAAGCATATATTTGGAATGTAGTTTACAATGCTGGTGACATCATGTCTCTAAGAATAACATCCTGCAGTATCAATTCTTTAGCACTGCCAGAAATTGAGTAGGCAGACCTTTTTTTTCGCCCTAATGAGAATTTATTTACGAGCGTCATTTTGTTTTTAATTTACTAACTTGCTCGACGCGAGTCAGCGGGTTGGCCCATTTTATAGTATGAAAACTATGTTCAACCATAATATTTTTTTTCAATGTGAATAAGATATTATTTAGGTCAACTTGAATATGAAAGGTATGAATCACTGCTTGACATTTATAAGGATTATGTCGAATGTAAATCAGGCTATACAACTGGAATAATAGGTGAAGATTACAAGAGCTTTGTAATTTGAACTATTTTTTGTCTACTGGCAGAAATACAATGCCATGTCATTTCCCAGACTTAAGTCTTATCCTGCCAGCACCATGTTTGTTCGCATTGGTTGTTACATTGATTTCAATGGAAAACAAAAGAGAAATCCAGTCAAGTGATCACAACACTGATAATATAAATTACCTCAGACCGTTATCTCAGTTATAAGCCTAATCATATATCTGAGAATAAGAAAGTCTCTGGTATGACTCTGGTAACAGATGCCTCCCCCCAAGGTTGGGGAGCGCATCTATTGGACGAACAAGCCCAAGGATATGGCCCCCGCATTAGTTTCGGGACTACCATATCAACCGGCTCAAACTGAAAGCAGTGTACTTAGCACTACCATGCTTTCTACTCGTAGTTCGAGACCACAGAGTCCTGCTCCGCACAGGCAGCGCAGCGGTGGTCACCTTCAAGGAGGGAGGGGGGGCGTTCCCCATCGTTGTCAGTCCTAGCGGAGCGAATCCTCCTTTGGTGCCTGGAATACAATGTGGAGCTAACCGCACACCACCTTCCAGGGGTGAGGAACAGTCTGGCAGACGCCCTTTCAGGGCGGCTCTGTCTCCAGAACACTGAGTGGCTGATACCCCAGTGGGTACCCTCCAGGCTATTTCGGCTGTGGGATGGTCCAAGGTTAGACCAGTTTGCGGCACCCCGTACGTAACACTCCTGCCGACTCCAGGAGCCTGGGCCAGGGTCGCTTTGCTAATCCTGTGGACCCACTTAGTTGTGTACGCCTTTCCTCCCTTCCCACTAGTTCACCAGGCACCGGAGAAAACTTCGACAGGTGCACACCTGCATATTATCATTGGTCGCACCCAATTGGCCAAGCAAGGCCTAGTTTCCACTTCTGTCGGAAATGCTAGTCGAAACACCAGTAGTGCTTTCGGACTTACCGGACCTGCCGTCCCAACCAGACGGCGCACTACCAACAAGCCCAGCGGGTATCACTTACACGCATAGAGGCTCTCAGACCCGCACATACGAAAGCCTTATCTGAGCAGGCTGCCAATGTCCTGGCCAGGGCGAACAGGGATTCCACCAACGTGGCCTACATTTCTAGGCTGTGAGCATACACTGATCGGTGTAGCAGAAGGGAGATTGATCCATACCATCCCTCTATTGGCCAGGTAGCAGGCTCCTTCGTCCACCTGTTTGACGAAGTGGGTTTGCCCCACGCAGCGATCGTTGGCTACAGGTCGGCCTTGTCCCCGCCATTGAGAACGTACAGGAACAAGACTAGCCGATTGTCCTATTATTAGGAGACTATTTACTGCTTTCCTGACGTGAGACCCCATACAAGGGAACCGCCCAACTGGGACTTGTCAGCTGTGTTGTCTGCTCTAAGCAGACCACCCTTTGAGCCTCTCCGATCAACACCACTCAAATTTTTGACGTGGAAAATAGTCTTCCTACTGGCCCTCACCTCAGGTAGGCATCGGCCAGAGCTGGAATCGGGTTTCTCAGCAAGAACCAAATCCCAGGACACGATCCTCACCCGATCGTCATCCCCCGGCTGTCAAATTTTGTCGGCCCGGAGGGTAAGGAGGAATTGCCTCTCCACCCGGTTTGAGCATGGAGTTGCTACCAAACCGTACTAAGGATTCAGGACGGGTGCCAGGCACATGTCTTTGTGTTACGGCCCAGGCAGACAGGATAGGCCGGCCTCCCCAACTTCCATAACCAGGTGGTTTACTGCGACTGTATTAGAGGTCTATAATACTTCAACTGCCTCGACACAGAGCTTGCAGAGACACCAAGTATGAGCAGATGAGGTCTGTGCAATTGCTTTAAACTCACTAGCATCAGCCCCCCCTCCACACACACGAAGGGCAGGCTTCTGTAGAACGCAGAAAGTCTTTATCAACTACCACCTAAAAGACACTGAATCTATTGAGGAAGGTCTCTTTAGGTTGGGTCCCGTCAAAGCGGGTCAGTCTTGCTTTGCTGACCCAGCCCGAACGACCACAAGGGTCCCTGCGCATAGGCAATAAGTCAGTCTCGACATTTTTTGCGTACAGATTTCTCTACCATCAGCACTCCCCTGGAAGTTCCCAGGTCCCGTTTTGCGGCCTATGCCCTCATGCAGAACTGTTTCGATCTTTACTTCGAAAGCTTACTACCCCCAGAATTGGGTTGGGGTAAAAGTAGGGGTAGGTTGGTAGAAGCATTTTGGCTTCTTGCTCCAGGGACAGCACAGGCAAGGTAAGACACCACCCTTTTTGGGTCTTAACTAAGGTGTTGAGTGATTACTGTAGAGTGTTTCATCCCGGACTGGGAAAAGACTTTCATCATTTTCTGTTTGCTCTGAAAACCCGCCACCTATCGGCGTCTGACTCTGCCTACAGTTCAAAATTGTCATTTTGACTGACCGGAGTCTATGGTGGGTAATTGAATGTAGTGAATTTAGGCAGAGGGTTCTCCGAACCCATCTATTCACATAGTTCATACCCACCATAGACTCCGGGTCCCCCCAACGACCCCACTTTTTCCGTAGCGTTGGTCTAAGTCCTCGAGGTGGAGAGAAATGCACGCTGTCCAATAAGGTCAAATCTTGGTTTACAGACAATGGTGTTCTAGCACATCAAGGAAGGTTAAACAAAATCATCAATTTTCATTGTTTTTGCTTCTTTCTGCTTATATCTGAAATGCATGCTGTCCAATTAGGTCAAAACTTGGTTTACAGACAATTGTGTTTTAGCATGTCAACAACAGTTGATTTGTGTCATGATACAATTCAAGTTGGTTGACTGGAAGCCATAGACTATATCACAATTCAAAATCATGTATTTCGGGATTGTTATGACCGAATCAAACACAACTCCACCAATCATAAAACATGTCTGCTCCTGCAATTTGACTTAACTATCCCACATTGCACTATAATTAGTTTTACATTTTGCCAACATAGACATTGGAGACTTAAACATGTTAAATTTTCTGGCATATCAATCATCAAGAAAGGAGTACATATTGTTGAGATTTCATTTGTGACGTTTCTCAATGTCTTCAATAGTTTACATTTTACCCACTTTTTAGACCAAACAAAAACAGTTAGGAGACACATAACACGCACTGAAATGACTTCAGCATAGTACCGATCTACTCTTAATAGTGGTTCGTGATCAGATATGCTAGATACATATCTCATTTCTCAGTTGAAACCTGTCTGAAGGGATTTTATCAAGTAACTATAGAAGATACAGGAAAAGGTTTTATTCTAAATTTAGTAATAAAAACAGGTCAAGGTATTTATAGGTATTTATTTATAGGTAGCTCTGGCTCTCTACTGTTATATTTTTAGCTATGCTGTCGACTTTGTCGACCGGAACTTATCATATGAGTGATTGTCCGCCGTCGTCCGTGTAAACTTTTTACTTTTTCGACTTCTTCTTGAAAAGTACAATTCTTATTGCTTTGATACTTGGTGTATATATACTTTGGGCAGACCTTTCTCAGATTTGTTCATTTTGTGATGATATCTTTAATTCTCTAATTATGGTGAATATTTTTGTAATTTTTGGTAAAAAGTGATATTTTTGACTTCTTGTTAAAATTAACAGTCAATATTACAGAAACAACAATAATTGTTAAAGAAATTTGAAATATAAGTTTTTTATGGCAATTCCATTGAAATCATCCCATAACTTCTGGTACTTGGGATTATCCTGGTTCCAATGCAAGAAACAATACCAAACCAAGATAAAAACTAGTAAGTGTAATTAGCATCAGATTTGTGAAACTTCATTTAAAAAAATCTGTCATGGATAACAAATTTCGTCTACCATTTTAAATCGTGCAATGCAAAACTATTGTCTGTACCTTGTGGCTATAGATAGAGTGGGTGAAACCAGTAGTCGGCGCTAGTAAATTAGAAAAGTAAACTGCTTTATAGTCAAAACAATCTGTCTGCTTGATGCCCCAATACTTTCAACTTTTGCTGTATTAGTAAATCATTTTATGAGATACAATTTATATAACTATGTATTTGAGCACATGTTAAGGACAACAACATTCCTTGTCTACCTTTCATGGATTGATAATTTGTTTTACGTTCTAAACTTAAAATTTTTTCACACACATTTATTTCCTGGTAAGAACAATGTTTAAATCTAACATGTTCTAAAAAATGTTATATTTTGTGTATGTAGGTGTGTACTGTATTATCAATATGGTTAACATCCACCCAGCCCTTTATAAATATCATAGATGAGTGGATCAGTAATGGTAAATTAGTAGATCCAGCTAAAGAATTTATTATATCAAGGTAAATATCATTGGAACACTTACACTAGTCACAAAAATATATGCATCTACTTGCTTACTCTACTCTACTAATGCCTAGCTATGATGCTAGTAATATCTCATTACACATTCAAATTTATGCAAATGTCAGACTATAGGGTGAAATACTCATTGGCCACTTTATATTCAGTTTTCTTCACAGCACAGTACATTAAGAATGTATTAAATATGGGACTGTTAGCCACCCCACCTCACACACTCACCTCACAGGTACTCTGCATCCACACTTGAAATGCAATAATCCCACACTGACTTTAATTGGTCATATTGTTGGAAAATACTAGTACTATGAGTATTTGATTGCCAACCAAACTCGACTTCATACAGCTTATTTCACTGTATTTAGAAATGAAGAAATCCAGACTAATAGTAATGAATATTGGGAGAAGGGCTACACCATATATGGCGTCTCAGCACAGCAATCTAAACTACAGCAACAGCAGTTCACTAAAGATACACCATCAGAATCAGTTGGAATTCCAGGATTTTTAGAACCAATCTTATACAGTGTTATATCTGCTGGAAAATCCATGGATCTAGTGGCAAGTCTTGGTAGACTAACAGAGAAGAAATTAAATTTGTCAGAGGGTAAGTATCTTGTCAAATTTAATAGATAAATAATTTATTAATATGTTTCTGTATTTCACTTTGTAATGAACCAATTGAATGGAAAAGTTGACTTTTGTAACCAATCGCTAGTGGGAAACTATGTACCTTTGGTTCAAAATAATATGTTCAGGTAAATTAAAGCATGTGAACCACAATATTTGATAGCTGATCAAATAAAAAAAAAATCAGATTTAGTTGAACGCTGACGTGTGGTTAGTATGATCGGACATAATCTGATTGCAAAATCTGATCTGATATTTGAAACTTCAGATATGTTTATTTTCACCAGATTAATAAATCTGATCCTATAAACACATATTTTTCAATCAGATGTGTTTTGTACAATAATCATTCGTATAAACATCTGTTTTTCCATCAGATAAATCAGATGCAGTTTGGTTCAATAATCAATTGTTTAAACACCTATTTTTCCATCAGATAAATCAGATCCAGTTTTGCCTGATAAATCTGATCATATGAATTGGAATGCATTTCATTTTTTCTCAGGTGACAGGATTTCCCTTTTTGAGAGTTTTACCAAATCTCTGTACGGTGTATGGGATATAGATGAGAGTGAAGACATTGATGAGTCAAGTGATAGTGATGATGTTGTCATTGATATCTCACAGCAACAGTTAACAGAAGTGAATCTCTTGTTACAACATGATGCCAAACTGCAGAGTAAACAATACACTCTTAGCTCAAAGAAGTAAGTGTTCACCTTTGTTGACCTCTACTATTTTATAACCTCCTTCCATATTAGTTTATAGTTTAACTTTTCCACTAATTAAACCATCAACAAATAATTTTTGTTGAAGCCTGCTGAAATAGTAAGAACAAATATTTTTTATTAACTAGTTTTGAGTGATTTTATTATTAGTCCCTGTTTGAATGAAGTTTGAAACAGGGACCTATAATTCGGTCTCGGCCCGCCCAGAGTCATATTTCAAAACCCTGTCTGTTCATTCTTTGCATGTGCCTAGTACTTTATCTTGGACATATGCACACGCAGTGGTTTTATACTGATTCAATCCAAGATGGCTGACTGGCAGCCATTTTGTTTTTTGAAAATGTAATATCTTATGCATGCTCTGTCAGTTTTTGTTCAAATTAGGTACATACATTGTACATGTTAGGATATATGTCTAACCCATGAATGCCACACTTGTTCCCATCAAAATGTTGGTGCATTATTTTATTGTATTTTTCTATAATTTCTTTGTTAATTTTTGACCATATGGACATAATTTTGCGTAAATCAAATTTTCAGAAAGTTGAATTATGCCATGTTTTGTCACATGACATCATAGTGCTTGCTTTGTTAATCAATATGTGTATCTGTGTCACTGACTTTTGCATTTTCTATTTTTAGATCATTCTCAAGTGGTTTACCTCATGAACTAATGGATGTGTTTACAGATAGACCACTGGACATCCAGTTAGTGATGCATCGATGTCTATATCCGCATATCATTAAGAAGTGTAACAGAGCATCCAGTCACTTAGTAAAGTTGTTAAAAACTGAATATCATTTGTTAGATTACCTTGCAGCCATGAGAGTAAGTATCTCCTCTGTTCACCTCTGCATGGTTGGTGCCTGGATAGCACAATTAAGATAGTAGTTATACATTCCTGTCATGTATTCCTTAACATGGATTCTGTGCCAAATTGTTCTGTATGAACCTTCTAATCTTTCTAAATTATGCCACTATATTATATTCTTCTCAATCAAATAACTGTCTAAAAATACTGTAAAATACTTTATTTTAGCTAGATTTAATTTTTGCTGAAAAGACTTTTTGTTTGTTTTTCATGGAATTTAATTTCACTGATTTTTGACGAGTTGGATGTAAAATATAGGAAAGCAGGTATATTCGCTGGATTTTATTTTCACTGAACCACTCCTTCAGCGAAAATAGCCAAAATTAATTCCAAGCGAAAGTAAAGCACTCTACAGTAGTACTGAATTGTGTATTAAAGGTAATGATCCTTGTGTTTGTTTATCTCAGTATTTCTACCTAATGGAAGCTGGTGATGCCATGTATGATTTTTATACGGATGTATTTGAGAGGTTAAGACTACAAGAATATTGGCAAGATGTGACTTATCTAACTAATGCACTCCAAGAGGCTGTACACATGCATCATTCTAAACATATGAGCAGGTATGGCAATATTTACTTAATATTGCAGATGTCATTAAGTATTGCTCTCACTAAGTATGAAAAATGCCTAACTTCAATGTGTTTAGTACTGTTATAAGTACTTAAAAATGTGCGAAATGAAGGGTTGAATGCTAATACATGTATTGTTCTATTAACACTTTGAATCAATCATTTTTTCCATCAAATGTTGGAGCAGCTTTTTGCTCTCTCTAGATATTTTGTAATTTCATTAATTTTAGATCAAATGACATAATTTCTCAATAGTTACAGTCTTTTACAAAATGTTTGAAAAAAAATATATTCATGCAGGTTTATTTTGTGCAAGGTAACAAAATTTGGTATTAAAAAGAGTTGCACCACTTTGCTTCCATTAAAACAGATGACCTTAACTTGAAAGTATTGCACACAGAAGTGGCTGAAACATTCATGAAAATGGTAAATTCTGAGTATGTATTATTGGCTTCTTTATAATAAAACACCTGGAGTGCATTCATGAAGCTGCCTCGGGGTGTCCCAAGTGACGTGGCAGTAGTGACCTGTGGCAACGAAAAGGTTCCCTGAGGAAGAAGTTTACACAAATGTAATCCAGGGGAAGTGATCGTATTGCCCCGTTGCTATACAAGCGAAACTTGTGTAAAAAGTATACAATTTATTTTAAAATCACGCCCAGTTGCATTGATTTCGTCATTCGCTATCTTTTTTCCCAAACTTCCCCGGCTCTGCAAGCAACGGCCGTAAAAACTGCCTTGAGTCGCCCTAGCTGTGATGTCACATAGCAGCCGAATGAAAACAGGGCACATGAGGCTCACCACGTCACCCGAGGCGACGACGCGAACGCACTCCTGCTGACATTGGTTTTCCAATTCATTTTGGCTATCTAAGAAAGCTTTCAGCTGGCGATAAGTATTGTCTTTATGGTCAACAATCAGTGGATTTGTTTTATTGTATAGGCTAACAGTTAGTGTGGAACCAGTATCCAAAACGAAACGTCTTCCCATCAATGCTTTGGACGTGTTAACACTGCACTACAAGGTAAGAACAGCTCAAATGACAACAATAATGGTTAGAACGCCACCAGGTGCAAACAAATACTTAAGTGTGCGAACACTTGCTTTGATGTGCTCCCACTGAGCCATCGATGTAGAACAATATTGAAATTTGTTTCATTTCAAACTGTGTATGCTGTTACTTCTTCTTACAAATAAATGAGAGAATGAATGTGAGAATGAATTTTCAGCACTAAAAAATAACTCTAATGGTACAAACTGAAATTTACTTTAATCATATTTATAATAACAATATATTTATTATTATTGAAATTGTGCCTTGCTTTATTTCAGGTACCATGGCCAGTAAATGTTGTCCTCAATCCAGAATGTCAGCAGATATACAATGCTGTGTTCCGTTTGTTATTACAAATCAAGAGAGCTAAATACTGTTTAGAACAACTCAGATTCAGTGGTAAGATCTAGATAGAAATAAACATGCAACAACTCTTTTAAAGCCCTGCTTGAACACATTCTGAGGACAGGGATCTGTGTGTTCATGTATGTGTCGACCCATATCCATGCTTGGACTAATCTAGTTCAAACTTCACACATACATCAGACATTATATTGATCATATGCACATGCATTTGTTTCATGATCAAATTCAAGATGGCCGAATGGCAGCCATTTTAACCTTTTCACCACCAGACTTTCTCACCCAAATTTTTCTAAAATTTTTCCTCATATTCTTCATTATTTCTGGAAAAAAATTTGGCCATTTTTGTCTCAAACTTCTGAAGGAAAGTGCAGACAATAAAAGGGACTATTTTGTGAATTTGTGATGAAGGAGAACTGGTAATGAAAAGGTTAAGACCACAAATACATAAAAATGACACATTTTCACCATTGAGATTTTGTTATACTGTCTCGGCATGCTTTAGTTGTGTTTATGTTTTTTAATTATTGCTTCCTCTTTACAGATCTTACAAATGTGGTATCCCCAAGTCCAAAGAATTGTGAGAGTGAAAACCAACATTTAGTGCATCGTATTTATCTCATAAGAGTCCAGTTGTTACATTTCGTGGATTGTTTACATAATTATATAATGACACGGGTAAGACTGACTTGGGCAAAGCTGGCACTTGCACAAGTTTTGGCAACGATTTTGGGGCACAAACTGGGAGATTCTCGCACTGTTCACGAACTGGCACGACGAGTTCACGCATAGTTTGGCGCACACTGCCACACACTGGCACGCATCCTCCTGCATCGTCCCAACGAGTTCACGACCAGGTCGCTAAATTTTGTCGTGACCAAAATTTATAACATTCAAAATTCTCGTCCCGACATGGCACGCAGTCACGACAGGTTTACGCACACTTCACCCAAGTTTACGACTAGTTTGCGCACTGGCATGACTCGTGCTAGTGTCAGCCTTGCTTTATGCTTTTTGACTCCCGTGTGCGAAGCACAAAAAGGGAGTCTTTGCAGTTAGTGTGTCTGTATGTGTGTATGTGTATGTGTGTGTGTGTGTGTGTGTGTATGTGTGTCCGTCTGTTCCACTGATATCTCAAGAACCATACATCAGTTTTTGATGAAACTTGGTGCATAGATGCTCTGGGCCAATGCGCAGATTTGATTAGGTTTTGGTAACAATCCATGCATATTAATTACCTAATTTGCATGATAATCAGCTGATTTTTAGCTGTTCCATGACTGTTCCACTGATATCTAGAGAACCACTCATTGGATTTTGATGAAACTTGGCACACAGATGCTCCAAACTAATGTGCAGATTTGATTAGTTTTGGGTAAAAATCTGTGCAATATTAATTACCTAATTTGCATAATGATTAATCAATTTTCGGCTTTTCCACTGATATCTCAAGTACTAATCACTAGTACTAATATTCAGCTTTTGATATTTCAAGTAGTAATCATCACATTTCAATGACACTTGGTACATAGATGTCATAGGACACTGCACAGACCTGATAGTTTTTTGGGGTAATACGAGTACATATTAATTACCTAATTAGCATAATTAATTAATTTTCAGCTTTTGATATTTCAAGTAGTAATCATCACATTTCAATGAAATTTGGTACATAGATGTCATAGGACACTGCACAGACCTGATAGTTTTTACGGTAATATCAGTATATATTAATTAGCTAATTTGCATAATTAATTAATTTTCAACTTTTGATATTTCAAGTAGTAATCATCACATTTCAATGACACTTGGTACATAGATGTCATAGGACACTGCACAGACCTGATAGTTTTTAGGGTAATATGAGTACATATTAATTACCTAATTTGCATAATTAATTAATTTTCAGCTTTTGATATTTCAAGTAGTAATCATTACATTTCAATGAAATTTGGTACATAGATGTCATAGGACACTGCACAGACCTGATAGTTTTTAGGGTAATATCAGTATATATTAATTAGCTAATTTGCATAATTAATTAATTTTCAGCTTTTGATATTTCAAGTAGTAATCATCACATTTCAATGACACTTGGTACATAGATGTCATAGGACACTGCACAGACCTGATAGTTTTTAGGGTAATACGA